ACTCAGTCGCCGGAAAACCCGCGAGTTTTCCGGCGACCGCCGAGTTTCGCGGAACCCATGCAAAACGACGGCCACAGCACGCCCACCCTCAACCCACGCACCATGCAAAGTTTCAGAACACCTGCAAAGGGAGAAAAGAGAGAAAATTTCGAGAGAGAGAGAGATTTCGGACAAACGTCGGCGAGTGTCCAGTTTCTCCGACGAGCCCTCAAACCACCCTCAAACTAACACCAAATGACCTGTTACCACCATAAGAGGGATCCCTAACGAAAGCACAATAACTCAGGGTGCGTTTTGTGTTATTTTGTAAACGTCGTCGTCGGTAACCGAGGTCGAAAAAATTAGGTTTCTTAATCGATTCTTAGATCTATGGCTTTTAGGCCGCAAAACTCCCAGAAAAGAAAGAAGGACGACGAACAAAGAAGAAAAGGGAAGGAAGAGGACCGAAATCGGCAACGGAAACGCCGCGGGAAAGAGAGAGAAAGCTCGCCGAAAAATCGGCCGAAGTCGGGTAAGGAAGACGAGATCCACGGATCCGGGTCAACTGGAACCCAGAACCCGGGAGAGCAGCCCGTTCCTCCCTTGGCCTCTGCCTTCGGCCCAGCCCAACTACAGCGGCCCAAACCTCAAACCGGCCCAGAAGCTACGGTTCAGTTGAACCAACCCAGACCAGACCCACGGTCCAATTGAGTCGGCCTGCAAACCAAACTCCTGCGGCCCAGCCCAGTAAGCCGAGGCCCAACGATTAGTCTTGGCCCAGTAGCCTTCCACAGCCCACGACCCGAACCACGACACGAACCGGGCTGCGACCCGCGCTTTGACCCGACACTGCCGCCCGACGTGGCTTTCTCTGCTACTGCCACGTGTCACTCAACGGCGCAGGCAATCCCTCGGCTCGGCTCGGCGCAAACGGCTCGGGCTCCCTCCGGTGACGCTCCGGCGGCTCCAACGGCTCTTCGGCTCGGCTCACCTATTTTCAGCCCGGTTTCCACTGTTTCGACCCTCCTGAATCTGTTTTCGGCCCCGATTAAGGTATCCGAGGCCGTTTCAGAGCCGTATTTCACATTTATTAAATTATAGGTAAATTAATTGTGAAATACTAACGGAAAGTGGTGGACGGTGTGATAGGAAACAAACCCCGGGGACGTAGGGAGCAGCTCTCACGGAACGGGAGCTTACGTTTAGCGATTTATGGAGTACTTCGGCCAAGGCCAACCAAGTAAGTGGCCTTACTATAGGATAGGCTAAATAAATTGTATGATGCTTGATGTTATGTGCCAGTATATACATATTTTGTTGAGTGACGCTTGATATGTTTGACGCACGTTGTGGCATTATGATGAGCATGATGATTGCATGATTTTTACCTTAATATGATGATGTTTTTCATATTGAGCATGCTAGATGATGATGAGTGTCATATTGCATCATATCGTTAGATCGACGTAGGACACAACCCTAAGAGCATGAAAATGATAGTAATATAAATATCCACGAGTATGCGTTACCTAGAGTAACAAAGAGATGAGACTAGAGGGTTGTGTCAGAAGAGACATTACGATGGATTTAGAGGGACCTCATGCATTTTGTATGTTCATAAGCATAGGGCTACTTCCCCTAGAGATGATGAGTGCGGACGCGCACCTTACGATGAGCGCGAATGCGCACAGGTGCGAAAGCACACAGATGAGGGTGTTCATGAGGCGCATGACACTATGGGGTTCTGCTGACCTCCGGACGTCGCTACAGATTAGCTTGACCAGAGGGTCCAGGGGGCGTGCGAGCGCCCTGGGGACTCACATTCGCACGTGTGAGTCGTGTGTAGGGAAGTACTACACATCCAATTTGTCCGAGACTGGAGGCCACCCATAAGATGATTAGAGATAGGTCCCTATTCATGATTGCATGTGTTTGCATTAGCATGGCCCCTATAGTGGGGTCACTAGGCCGTGTGCCATATTGTTTTTTCAGGTAAAGGCAAGGCGCCCATGTACGGTTGACGGTGGCATCGTGATCAGAGACTGTGGCGCGTGCATAGGATAGATGCATATTTAATTCCTAGTCTTGGTTAGGATAGGGCGTTTGCATTTCATTCATTTATATTAATTAATTTGTAATCGTTTTATTTTATCTTTTTGAACTCCAGCACAATGTTTGAAACACGTAAGTCCGGCAGTGTTTTCCAATGTTTTAATGTATTTTGAAGTTTTAAATTTTTCCGCTATTAAAGATGAGTATGCTTAGATTTTTATTCTGCATTAGAGATGAGCACCGAGACGTTAGTGGCGACTCTAGATATGTGGAAATTTAGGGTCGTTACATGTAGTGTGCAGAGAAGTACCATATATCCAATTTGCAAGTTTGAAAAGTAGGCTTAGAGAATACGATTTAAAATGATAGGATGCATGTGTTTGCATTGACCAACACCAATAGTGGGATCACTCAATAAGTATTTCTTAAAATATTGAGATCTTGTGTTATTCTTAGATTTTAGGTGAAGGCAAGACATCCATGTGTGGTTGACGATCATGGAACATATGTTAGTGTAGTTGCATTTTCACTTCTTAGATATTAAGTTAGATTAAGGCAACATTTTAATTTTTTCTTTAGTTTTATTTATATTTTACATTGAAAATTTTTCGTTGTTTTTGTTTTAAGACTCTTAATGCAAACGTATAAGTTCATAACATTATTTTATTAATTATTTTAAGAAAGGTTTCCACATAAAATTTATGTTAGGGCATACCAGTAAAAAAATAATAATTAAACAAATCAACTAATCTCATCTATCCTCCAACCTCTCACATGCCCACTTTCCCCCTCAAAATACTCAACCAACTCCCCTTGCTCTCTCCCCTTTCTTCCAATTCATTATCTCTGCACATTTGTCCTAACACCACCAGATCTCCCATCATCAAAAATGGAAAGTTTCTCTTACAATTACCACATGAATCAATTCTCTCACATCGTTATAACCTTTGAGGGACAAGTCAAGCCAATTTTATAAATAAAATAGAATGTCGGCCAACTAAGTAAATGACGTTATTATTGACATGATTATATTTGATGTTGACACGTGCCTCGTGATTATGCACATGTCATATATTTGATATGTGTAAATTGTTTATGAATCGATATGACTATGGTATGATATGTATATGTTATAATATGTGAATGGTATGATAACTCTTACGTTATAATATGTTTGAGTAGAATATGAGAATGATGCGATGAACGTAATGTAATGATATGACTAAGATATTATTAATATAACGACACGGTTAGGTTATGTATAGAAATTGATATGGTTATGATAGATTGAAAAAACGATATGTATAGGTTATGTATAGAAAATGATAGATTGATAAAACTATATGGTTAGTGTACGTTTGGGAAACAATATGACTAAGGTATGTCCATGAAATGATACGACTATGAGATGTATAAGGACAATAAGGTTATGACAAGATTAAAAATACGATATGACTAGGTATGCATATGGAAACAATATGCCTATGAAATGTTTACGAAATGATACGATTATGATATGACATATGAATGACGAATATATATATATATATATATGTTGTAATACGATATGAAAATGATATGATATATGTTCTGGTACGATGTATGTAATAAATTGATATGTTTATGTTATGGTATATTGTGATACGATATGTTATGGTATGATATGTTATGATGAAAATTTTTATGTTTGGAAATATGGAAACGTTATGATATGGCATATGTATGTAAAATGATTGATATGATGTGATTGACATGCAAAACAACAAACTAGCATGAAATACAACTCTCATATACGCATGAAAGATATGATAAAATTGGATGACTTCATGTCCAGACAAAATTGGATGTGTAGCACTTTCCTACGCATGTACAAGCATGAGTCTTCCAGTAGCTTGAATTAACATATTATAACTTTAATTTAAAAAAAAACGCTAATAAATGTTTTTATAGCATCATATACAAGCCATCTATTCATATTCTATTATAGTATGAGCGGTTAAGATTCGTGAAAAACACTATAAAAAATATGCGATATCATTTTTAGTAAGCTATTGTAACAACTTTAGATTAACAATTAAATTTAAGTTTAATGAAAGCAAACAATATGAAGTGTTGGACAAGGATACATATTACAAAGCTGTGCTTACTTCCTATATTACCCAACACAAGGTCTCGAACAAAAAGTGAATATTTATAGTCGTTTATATATCTATTTCGATTAAGATAAATTGGCTGTTCGTACCTGAATGAGACTTGGTAAAAAAGAACCCGATGTGGTGGCTTTTACCTAAACTCTTCTACATAAAACAATAGAGTTCTTCAAATTTATTTATGGTTCTTTGATACACATAACCGCTTCAATTGATATCAACTAGAACCAGATAATTGCTTGATGCCAACAAATAGCACCTTCCTAATTCTACAAGAAATACATAGATTTAAAGGCTATGAAGTAATTTGAGGGTCTCATCAATATGCTTTACGAGTTGGAATTGGTTATATAAATGAGCTGCACAATCCCATTCTTATCAAGAACATGAGTCTGTCGTCTAGGCAATGTTCCAAAAAGATCGGCAGGAACTCCCCATTCTTTCCTTACTTTGTTACCCTCATCACTTAGCAATGTAAATGGAAGTCTGGATTTCTTTGCAAAAGCCTACATTTTCAACCATGTCACTAGTGTAAATGGGAGTCAGTAATTCTTTGAAAAAGCCTACATTTTTAACCATGTCAATGGGAGAAACTTACATTGATTGGGGCGGAGAACAAAACAACTTTGGTAAGGTATCAAAACCTTTCCCTAACCATGTTAAAGTCTAAAGGGGGAGGCTGAAAAAATTCAAAGAGGACAATATCTGCTTGGACCTCAAGATAGGATAGGATTGAATTGTAACCTATTTTTAGTTGGTTGGACTCGTATTGATCCAACAAAAAAAAAAATGTTAACTTACAAGCCGATCTAAATTTTTAACCCAACTCAATCTTAATTATTTGAATTGAGTAGTTTAAGTTAGTCGATTTATCCGAATATATGGATATACCCCTAGAAACTTGAAACTATATATTTAACTATTAATTTGAACGTTCAACATTTATATATTTTTCTATTTTAAATTTAATTATCAAATATATTAAACAATAATTTGAACATTCCCGTATGAAGATCTTATAGACTTACAAATGCTCTTTAATAAATTAATTTTTATTCATTAATCCTAAGTTACTTCACGATTAACGTTGAGTTACAATTGTATGTTCTATAGGACTAGTTGCGTCTATGGATGTATCTATTAAATGCAACTTCATAATATATAAATTATTTGTAATTTCATTTGAGTCAAAAGTTTTTGTTATGCTTATAATTATATCTTGTTTCTTAAGTAATGAACAATTAATTTATAATCTAATCATAGACTAAATCTCTCTCGGGCTAGTGAAAGGGTGAGACCCCATTGTTTAAGTCTTGAAGTTAACAAGAAACCATTCATTTACTTTTTTTTTTCTTTGTTCTTTATGAAGAAATAGAAAGTATTTCTCTTGTGAATTTACGGTACCAACTCCCTATTTTGTCAAGTCCACAAAATAAACTCAAGATTTATCGTTTGTTTGAGATATTGGAGCCGATCGACGCTGTAGCCAACAAATTGGCATGAACCACCCAACCTTGCTACCGTGGGTAACGTACTTCATTTTTGATGTTGACCAAGTACACCCTGGACCCCTCACATGTCATAGAACATGAGAACTTCCCTCCTGAGAAACTTAACCTACGGAGAGAAACTCATAAAAATAAATAAATTAATTAATTAAAAAAAAAAACTCCAAATAGATGTTAAGGAACTAAGTACCAAGGTTATCACCCTAGTCGAGGTCCCGCAGAAGAATCATCAAGCCAAGGAAGCGACGGAAAAAAAAATAAAAAGAAAAAGATGAGAGAGTTGTACCCAAACTTTTTTAAGACTAGTTCAGTTGCCAGAACAAAAGTTTTCGAGTTGGCTATAGAATTCTTAACACCGGAGATGAATTTTAAAAAAAAAATTGCAAAAATATAATTTTGTAATTTTACTGAAGTTGTTTTGTTCTTAATTAATTATAGAACAAGAATTTCCACCCGTTATAGAAAGGAAAATTCTCCAAAATAAGGAGAAAAAATTTATAAAATAAAACAAAATAAAATATTCTAGAAAAGAATTTGGATAAAATGGCTCGATTGCCTACAACTACACTTTTGGAGAAGGGCTCCAAGTTTGAAAGTGCTTGGAACACCGTGCCCAATCGAGTTCTCAGAGGTAAGTTTTGAGCAAAAGTTTAGATTTTCAATTCGAGCCTTAAACCTTAATTCATTTAATTAAGACTTATTTCATGGCGCTTTTGGAAGTGTAAGTAGCATTTTTGGTAAAAGGCTCGAAAGTTTATAAGCTTTTGGTTAGGGGTGTGCATTGAAGCCAACAACCCGAACCAACCCAACCCGAACTATAAGAGTTGAGTTGGGTCGGGTCAGATTAGTTTTTCAGATTGGTTTGGGTTCATTTTTTTGAACCTGAATTGATTCGGTTCGATTTTGAGTTCATTGGACAAAACCTTTAGATTAGACCTGACCCAAATAAAAATATATAAAATATACTAAGAGATTTACATCAATGATAGTTTGCTAGACTGGTATGTGTGCTAACTTAAAACTCTCCCACTAACTTGAGTTGGATGTCAATTAAATATATATATTAAATTAACATATAACTATTAAAACTCTCGCACTCACTTGAGTTTGATGCCAATTAAATATATTAAATTAACATATCCTAACCACTAGACCATAATTGATATTTCTTTATCATCGACCCCTCTAAATTTTTCGATGGTTATACAAATGTCCAAAATACAAAAATCTTACCAAATGGCACCAAGTTATTGTTGTTTCTTTGTCCAAAACGCCTCTAAACTTCTCAATAGTGAATACAAACGACATGAATTAAAGATCAAATCTAAATATCCTAACAAAGCCTATCAACTTCTCAGTTATACAAATGTCTAAAATACAAACCACATGGATTAAGGATAAAATCAAAATATCCTACAAAATGGTACCAAGTTTTCCATATACATAATACAAATGAGATGATAAAGGATGAAGTCCTTACAAATATCGATACTAAGTTTTTCATGGCCATGAATTGAACTCAAGTTTGTTGTGTGAAAGCCTTATCCTAACCGCTGAACAACTCAACGCCTCTAAACTTCTCGATGATTATACAAATATTCAAAATAAGATTAAAAAAATCTTACAAAATGACACCAAGTTATTGTTGTTTCTTTGACCATGGTTATACGTATATCCAAAATACAAACGATATGTATTAAGGATAAAAGCTAAATATCCTAACCAAGTTTTCCATTGCGGAGAACTCGAGTCTCCTGGGCAAAAGCCAGATATCCTAACCACTGAACAACAATGAATATTTCTTTGTCCTCAACGCTCTATACAAACGAGATGGATTAAGGTACAAACGAGATGGATTAAGGATGCAAGTTTTCACAATTGGTGAGAATTGAACCCAAATCTCTTAGGGTGAAAGCCAAATATCCTCACCGCTGGACGACAATAAATATTTCTTTATCCTCAATACTCTTTTTTTTTTTTTTTTTTTTTTTTTTTAAAAAAAAA